AATTTGAACAGTATTAACATTTGTTATTTATGTTTCATTTATATTGGACTTTCAGTTTTCTATTTTCCTGAAATTTAACTTTGTAGAACGGTAAATAAATTTTCTATGGAAGTTCAAAGTGTGTATACATTTTTTTGAAGCACCCTGTATATATTAGGGGGATCGCTCATAGGAGATTTTAATGTATGGACGATATTTACCCTCCTTATAAAATTTTACAAACGATATTTTTAAGCTTTAGACTGATATTAGATAAACCTGCTTATGTTTGAAAAAAATCAAAAGAATTCTTTAAAAATCATCCGTAATATAATCAATCTCTTAGGTTGGTCAAGAACAACCTCTTAAAAGTAAAATTGATACAATACTGCCTAATAATATGCCGTTTCTACCAATCGAATCGATATTTCTGCAGAATTTATTGTGAAAGCCATCGCTTCTATGGGACAAATATATATCATCAACTTATAACTTTCAACTTTATTAATCTTGCAAAAGAAGCAGATGGCAAGATGGTGAAGACATCTGTTGAGATTTCTATCAAAAGACCTCTCGAAATCCATTTCAAAGAAAATTGCAACCTAGAAAGGAAATACAGGAATTAAAAAATGACTTTTATCTCCGCGCAGCGATGGGAGATGGCAGGAACTATGTCTTTTTAATTAAGAGCTGTCAACCATGGCAATTCCCAAGGACTTTCCTAGGGACTTCGAACCGCACCCCCAAGACCAGCTGGCGCTACACCTGTCGACCCATATCGTGGACCTCCGTCGGGAAAAATGAATATTCCAAGGACCTCGTTTATGGATGATGAGATAACGTTTCCTACATGCTTTTTCTAAATTGGACAGGAACACGCACATCTTCACCGTTTGATGCCGTATCATGCTTCTTTCAAATTGGACAAGAAAATGTACAAGGTTAGGCAAAAACAGATCGAATTATTTTAAATATATATAAATAAATAAATTTTAAAGATATTTTAAATTTTTATCATCTTCAAAATAATGATCTATTAAGCTTCTATCTTTTTTTATAATATACACAGGTACATAAGTAGGTCTTTATGACATCCAAAAATTTTCCTTGATGTCACACCTTGTCAAGTTCGTGTCTCACAATTTGTTTAATCTAAATTCACT